TCTAGATTCCTGCTATGAGTGAGACCATCCGGTATTTTTCTTTTTCTTTCTGGCTTATTTCGCTGAGCATGATCCCTCCCAGCGCCATCCGTGGTGCTGCAAATTGCATGTGTTTATTTTCCATCACAGTTTAAAAAAAAAAAACTAGTAGGGGAATGATACAAGAAGCAGCAGCGAGCTGAGAAGTCAGTCAAATTTATTGTTTAAACAAGACTTGACTGTAAAACAATATGTCAGTTTACTTAAGATGATAACATCTTGTGAGATTGTTGAGGGAGTGGGTGGAGGAAAAGAAATTGGGCAAAAATTTTTGCTTGATTGGAGGAGGAGGAGATACATAATGATTTATTTTAAATGTTAACTGCAAATTAGAATACAAAATAAACATTAATATTGAATCACATTTGAAAAACAAGAATAAGATACATAACTTTTATATCAATAGGGAATTGTATTTGGTTATATACCAGAAACCTAAACAGTGGCTCAAATAAATTGGAAGTTTATTTCATATAGAAAAAGGCTAGCTTTTTATCTTACATAGAAAAGTTTTAGAAGTGGGGGCCTCCCTGGTGGCACAAGGGGTTAAGATGCAACCTATGAAGCTATCCGCAGCCTCTATAGCTACAAATTTGATCCCGGCGGGCCAGGGAGCAACCCACATGGCACAGCAGACCTCTCCTGACTTGCCTGCTGTTCCCCTCTGCAGTGTACTTCGGTCAGTCTGTCTGTTCTGTTCCCCACTCTGTCTCTGGTGAATCCTCTCACCTCCCCCCCACCTCTGGCCTTTACCCCAGCTCTTGTATGCATAAATAATCTTTAAAAAAAAAAAAAAAAAAGAAGAGAAAAGTTCTAGAAGTGGGCTGTCCCTAGATGGAATCCAGACTTCTATCACTCTACTTTCCCGTGCTCATGATCAGACCCTTGCCTCTTACTCTCAATATGGCTGTGAGAGTGCCAGCCATCACGTGTATACTTCAGTAAAGAAGAGCGATATAGACAAATGGGTATAGGTAAGAAGGTCATCTTTGCCTGAGGCAGCTCTTTACAAGCTTTTCTAGAAGACTTACCCAGGGACTTATACTGACAGCTCTTTGGTCAGTGAGTGCCACATGACCACCCCTATCTGCAAGGAAGACTGATGAAAATTGTCTTTCTTTCCCCCTTCCCTATTCTGAACATATTGCTACCTCAAATTATGGTTTTGTTTGTTAAGAAAATGAGGAAATTGGATACTTATCTGGCAAACAGTAGTCTCTATCTCCACTTCTACTGAATAAAATTCTACAGAAATCTTAACCAATACAACAAAGATAGAGAAATGAAAAAAACAAAAAAAGATGATAGATAGAAACCACGATATAGCATGACAATAAGTCCAGGCATATTAGAAATTGGAATAAATATGAATTTTCAGTATTTGTTTATTAAAAATAAGACTTTTGTTGGATCAAAATAGACACACCTGTATTTTTGTTAACAAAAGAAGATAAGAAGTTAAAAATAAAGTAGTGGATAAAAATATAGCAGGGGAGAGACTCCCGCTTCTTGCTAAGTAACTAGGATTGATCCTTTGCTGAGACTAACTGGAAAAAATGATCAAATTATTTTAAAATTTCTGCTTGAAGGAATTGAAAAGTAACAATATAGTAAAAAATTTCTTTTCCATGATCTAAATAAACTAAGAAGATGTGATACATATACACAATGGAATATTACTCAGCATTCAAAAAAAATAAACACATGCAGTTTGCAGCAACATGGATGGAGCTAGAAGAGATAATGCTCAGCAAAATAAGTCAGAAAGAAAAAGAAAAATACCAGATGGTCTCACTCATAGCAGGAATTTAGAAAACCTACATAAGAGACCAGGAAAAAGACTAATTAATACAAAGTAAAAATCAAAATCAGCAAGCAACTATAAACCAGACATCCTATGGGGTGGGGGGAGGGAGAGGCGGGGGGGGGGAGAGGAAGGACTAGAGTCAAAATAAGGGGGGAAGTGCAATTGTATGGGGAATATAACCAAAATGAAAATGCATACATTGTGCAAAGATGAAAAATGATGGAAGAATTATATAAAATAAAATATTTTTAAAAATAAATAAACTAAGAAAGAAATCTAGAAATGCAAGACTGGCATTTGGGCACTGTCCAAAACCTTTATCTTCAAACAGACTCATCTTGTACCTTTCCTGTCCCGCTCATCATACCTGCCACTTTCCCCATCTTACAGTTTACTCGTGTTCTCCTCAGTCCCTTCACACCCACAAGCCAAGCCTTAACAGCCTCCTCCTCTTCTCATTTCCTCCACAGACCCACATTGATTTCCCCCATACTTGCCCTCCACTTTCCAAATGTGTTCCTCAGTGCCCCCAAGGCTGTGATTCTAAGAGAGCCACGCTGGTTTCACTACTGAGTTCTACCAAATCTTCAAAGGTGAACTAATACCTAATCTTCTCAAAATCTTCTGCAAAAATTGAAGGAATGCTTCCAAACACATTTTATGAGGCCAACATTATCCTGATAGCAAAAGCAGACAAGGATATCACAAGCAAAGAAAACTACAAAATCTTACCAAACTGAATTTAGCAATATTTTAAAAGGATCATACACAATGATCAGCTCTTCTCAGAGAGACTGAGAACAACTTGCTGTGATGTCTGCAGGATCTGGGATGATGGTTGAGGGAACAGTTCAGGGCTAGAGAACAGCTGGATAGAATCCTGTATTCATTACAGAAATAGTTATTGAAATAATAATTTCAGAACATCAGGAATAAAGAAAAGATCCTAAAGTCTTCCAGAGATGGAAATTACAGGTTATAGCCACACAGTCAAAGGAATAAGATTAGCATTAGATTTCTAGGAGAAAGTGGAAAAAAGTCCTCAAAACTTTGAGGAGAAAATTATTTTCAATCTAGAATTTTACGTTAAGCAAAACAATCAAAAGATTTGAGTGCAGAATAAAGCCATTTTCAGACACACAAGTCTGCACATTTATATCCATGTACCTTTTCTAGGGAACTATCAAAACAAGGGACTAAAAGTGAGAACGAGAGAGACACCGTGTACAGATCATGTTCCTATCACGTGGGGAAGCCCTCGGTGTAAACATGCGACCTTGGATTTTCCCACTAAACAATTTCAAAAGCACAGTTATAAAGGGAGGAATAGGTGGAAAGATTTGTGCAACAAAAGACACCATGAAAAAGTTAACTGAGAGATGACAGCCTGGGAAAGTCTTGTAACATTTCCATCCAGCAAAGAGTTACCCAGGGAAGCCACACAAGAGAATGATGGGAATCCAGTAAAAAAATAGGCCAAGGACAGGACCAGGCAATTGCACAGTGATGTCCAAGGGCCAAGATTCGATCATAAAAGGAGCTAAGAGACACTAAGCGGTGTTAGGACAAGATGCTATTCCAAGAACAGGCCCTATATGAATCCCATAATGACTCAATGGAGGAAGAACCATGTTACCCCCTAAAATTTCACTAGAGGAAATAGACACAAAGAGGCGGAAAGGCTCACTTGAGTTCACACAGGCAGGCAGCCTCTCTCTCCAGCCCAGGTACTCATTCCTAAGAGTCACATTCTGCTCACACCCCTACTCAGAGAAATGCCAGTGAAAACAAGGCAGCATCTTGACATATTTACAGTAAAAACTGGAAAGTGACTGACAGAGATCAGCTAGGAGCTGCGACCGTGGAGAGCAATCTGTCGGCATTTCGTGGCATGGAGGAGTCGTCCCCCGTCCTATGACTCAACAAGCACCCCGGCGTGTATCCCCTGGAGGATGCCGCCCTTGGCTGCCCAGAAATGCATGACGTAGTCTACTGTGGAGATTCATAGGAGGGGACTTGGAAATCAATTCATCAGTGGAGAAGAGAGGAGGAATACAAGTAATACTGGGCCAGGAGGACAGATGGACGCCATTACCTGCGGTACCTTGCACGTACTCAAACAGTTCATAATAAAGAGGCTGGGGAGGCTGGGCAGGAAGAGAAAGGGGAGGGGAGAGCTCCGCGGGGCAGCTGTGAGCAACACCTACCACACTGGCCTTCAGACCAAAACCAGGCCCCTGCTGGCTCTCCTGGGTGCAATGCAGGCCAGAGAAAGCACATGAGTCTGGCCTCAGGATACCAGACACATGGCTTGGGAGGGAAGAAAAAGCGGGGTGGTTTGGGATGAGACAGAAAGTGAAATCTTCATCTCCCATGGTGGATAGTTGATCGATAATGCCTTGAAATGAAGGGGCCACGTCGGTGAGTTACCAAGATCTGGAAGGAGGGCTCCCCAGGGTAGTTAGGAGGAGCAGACGTGGCTGGGAATGGTGTCTGGGACAGCCAGAGCACGGCTGGCTTGGGAAGCCTGCTGAATAACCGGTGGCCTCTTTCAGACGCCACTGCCACCGCCAGAGAAATCTGCAGTGCGGAGGGGAAGCCATCTTCTGGGTAGTGACTCATGCTTGGAAATTCCGCCAGCCCACTAGATTTCAGACCCAGAATGGAAGGGCTTGTTTGGTTTGAAGGAACAGACATATAAAGATGGCTCAGCGCCAAAGCAGCTTCAGAGGGGTGAGGGAGGGGGGCTACAACAGCTGAAAGGAGGGAGCAGAAATCGCCTGAGGTACCACCATCCTGACCCTTCTGCTGACCCTCCACACCCACAGCCACTCCATTAAAAGAAGGACTGCCCCCCACTGAGGAAGGGCACCCTGGCAGGAAAGGCAGGAGGGCGCCGGCGGCAGCCTGAACCAGCACCTTCCTCTACACCTGTGACTTGCTCTCCTCGTGGCTGATGAAGGGTGATCCTGAGGGCAGCAGAGCAGAGGTCTTTATTGGGGTGAGACAGGCCCACAGAGGCTGTATTCCATGAAGACTCGGGGCCATCCCTGCAGAAGGGAAAGGGCGGGTGTTTCCTCCTTTATCCAGCAACTTGGAGTCTGGAGAAGGCAGCCACCTCGCTGGGTCACAGCTGCCCTTGTGACATCATGCCCGCCTCCTCCCCACCACCCTTCCTGCGGCCAGGGCAAGGGAGCAGCAACCAGACGGGGAGTGAGGGAACACCTGAGCCGCTGCCCTGGCCATGGGCAATCATCCTGGTGTAAGACTCTCAGACACTGCCACCTGGGTGGTAGGGAGTTGCCCCAACACAAAAGGAAGCCCCAGATGACATCAAAGGATCTAGGGCAAGAATGGGGAGTGGGGCTGTGAGGACTTTGCTCAGGGGCTGATCCTCACACATGCTTTTTCCTTATGTTCTGATTGCAGAAGGCTCAACCACCTAGAGAAAATGCAGAGGAAATAGCAGCGAAGGAGAAGCAAAAGGTAGGTGAGGCCCAGGAGCATGAGAGTTGCTGCAGATCATTGGCCCTTTAACCCCAGAGTTCCCTGGGATTGGAGAAACTAGCTCTGGTCCCACAGGAATCAGCTCAACATTGCTCCCCAGCCCCTATAAATTCCCTTCCTGTTCCGGACAAGCTGTGTTACACATGGAGAGAGAGGGTAGAGGGGTGAGAAATCAGGATGCAGACAGGCCTTGTGGAAGGTAGGGCATAGCTCAATGGAAACTAGACACCAGAGAAGGGTCAGGCAAGGTCTAGAAGGATATGGGGGTGACTGAGGTAGTTTGGGAGTCAAAAGAAGAGAGATAAGGGCAGTGGCATGGCTTGAGGCATCAGAAAACAGCATCCTGGGCTGGAATTTGAGCTGAGACACAGGCCTTAAGTGCAGAGGCCTGTTTTCATGCAGATTCTTTGGTTCCTCTCACCCACTTGGGTATTCTGGATCAGAAAGTGTTTCTACAAATCTGTGAAGACCATAAGGCAGCACATTCCCATTTCACAGATAAGAATGCTGTGATAAGAGGGTGAGCAGGTACGTCCATGAGTAGTTATGTCCATGGCCACAGACAAGATGGAAGTAGAGGTAAAACCCCACCCAGGTGCTCTGGGTCCTCAGAACCCCCAGGGGAAAGCTGATTATTGAGAGGATCCTGGCAGACACCAGAACTGTGGTTGATGGTGACAAATTCATTGGGAGTCTTCTGCTTTGCTTGGTTAGTTGCTTGTTGCAAAACAACAAGAACAAGAACGAATAAAAAGAGTCAAAGCGGCCAAGAAGATCCAGGCCTGGTGGCGTGGCACCCTGGTGCGTCGGGTGCTGCTAGTGGCCGCCCTCAGGGCCTGGATGATTCAGCAGTGGTGGAGGACAACCATACGGAGCCGGAGACTTAAGCTGAGGCAGCGCCTGCTGCAATCCTACGTAATCCAGGAGCAGGCAGTGGTTAAGCTCCAGTCCTTGGTTCGCATGTGGGAGTGCCATCAACGTTACAGCCAGATATGCAAAGCTGTCTGTATACCCCAGGCCTCAAACAATTACCTAGCCTTTCAGACTGAAGAGGTTTTGCAGGCACGATTCAAGAGCACTTCCAACCAGCTGGAGTTCCATGTGGAAATCCTATCTATCTGAAAGTACTGCAGGGTGGAGGATTACTTCATCACCCTAATAAATATATGACCAGGTTTTGTGTGTCTCAGTGAATCCCACATCATGGGGACCCGGATGAGTCAGGGCCTGCACCTCCTCTTCTATTTGGGGAAAGACTTCAATACAAGTACCTCTCACTACCCCCAAACCCAACACATGCCTCAGGGCCAATGGCCGCTGTTCTTTTGATGGGGGCCACTTGCCATTGATTCCACCCTAATCAGAAACTGCTGCCCAAGACTGTTCTCACACATCAGAGCCAGGTGCACCTCCCACAGTCCCAGCACCATTCCTGTCTCCCTAACCTGCAATGGGGAGGGATAGGGCTTTATATTCTAAAGACTCTGGGTACCTCCTCTTGTGAGAGTTGCCTCTGAAACCAGGCCCTGTCAACCTGCATAGGGTGTCAGCTGCAGCTTTTCCACATTGGCCTTCAGATCAAAACCAGGCCCTTGCTGGCTTTCCTGGGGGCAATGCAGGCCAGAGAAAGCACAGGAGCCTGGCTTCAAGATACCAGGCACATGGCTTTGGAAGCCTCAGGCTAACCTGGATGCTGGCAACATGATCTTAAGGAAGTCAGTTTAGACTCTGTCCTCCCTCCTCAGGACCCGTGTCCCCAGGGTGCTGAAATATCCCACTGATGTCTGTTCCACCTTGTGTATGACACCATTCCTGGTGACTTCAGCACTGACTATCAAATGATGCCCCAGGTCCTGGCCTCTCACCTCCAGTAAATCTGACTTCAATCCTGCCTTACTCACCTACTCCTGCGATCACACTGTAGACTGCTGCTTCTCAAGCTGCCTGTGGGGAAGCGACATTTTTTAAATGTCCAATCCATCAGAGACCAGCTCTTTTGTAAAGTAATAAAAGTGAATTATGAGAAAAATAAATGGAAAAGGCATACAGATGCACTTGTTTTTAACTATTAGATAAGACCTACATGAAAGTACCATTTTGATTTGCTATAAAGGTTTCTAAACACTCACTCTCAACCTCTGTAACAAGGACGTAACTCCTTGTTGGGGTAACTCCAGGATGGGGTAACAAACGCCCATCCTGCTCTGGGTAGCATTGCCCTGGCCTCTGTCATCACCCATAACCGCCCAGCAACAGCCCTGGCACCAACCACTCCAGGATCTGACTTATGCCTTCTGTCCTTAGGGCAGAGTTCAGAAAGCCATGACCTGCAGTTGAGTAGTGAGGACAGAAACTATGAACATCAAGCCTAAAATGCTTACTATTTGGACTTTTATAGAAAAAATAAAGGTCATCCCCTTTGTTAGAGTCACTGATTCTTTTTTTTTTTTAAAGATTTATTTATTTATGCATACAAGAACTGGGGTATAGGCAAGAGGTGTGGAGGGTGAGAGGATTCACCAGAGACAGAGCGGGGAACAGAACAGGCAGACTGACTGAAATACACTGCTGAGGGGAGCAGCGGTCCAGACAGGAGAGGTCTGCCTCACCATGTGGGTTCTCCCTGGCTGGGGACCGAACTCTTGCTGCAGAGGCTGCGGATTGCTTCACAGTGCAGTGCTTAACCCCTTGCGCCACCAGGGAGGCCCGAGTCACTGATCCTTATGCACTGATTCAAACATTTCTTTGGTCCTAACTAGGACTTCCCCGTGAGTGACCTCACTGTTTTACTGCACTCAGGCCATCGTGCTCACTCCCTTGATCCCCAGGTTACACCCCATTTTCTTTGAGCATTCTCTTAAATTTTATCGCCAAAAAAATTTTTTACCTCCATTGGCCCCCTTTCTGTCCACCATCGGATGACACCAACCCTTCGCCTCCTTTGTCCTGCCCCAGAAGAGCTGAACTTCCCTGAAGAAAAACAGTGACCGTATTGTGCGTCTTCAGTTTATACTCAAGGCCATGAACAAACTTCTCAAGATACTGCTCTGTAAGTTTGCTTTTGCTGAAGATTTCACAGTCTTTCCTCTCTCTTCAAATGGAAATTCTCCCTCTCTTCCTCTTAATCTCAAACATCACCACACACACACACACACACACACACACACACACACACACGGAGCTGAAAATGGCGGCAAGCCAAACCCCATCGTCCCGCCCCCACCCCCCACTCAGTGTCGTGCCTCAATGTGCTCGATGGCTTTCTCGAGGTTTTTTTGCCCCACCCAAGGCCACCCCCTCCTTTTGCTCTTCCTGTGCTTTTCTTTTGCCCACGATCACCTCTTGACCTTTGCACTGATCTCATCCCATAATTTCATTTGTCTCTCTAAGTCATTTTCTACCTTTTCTCAAGTCATTCCCATCACAGTATGGAATGTCCTTCCTCATTAAAAATTTCATCTTTTATTACCTTTTATTCTAGTTCTTGCTTCTCCTCACAGCAAAACATGTCACTGTCTCTCCTTCCACTCTTCCTATTCTCTCCTGAACTCACTCTAATAACACTTCCTATGCACCCCAGCTCCACAGAAACCATACTGGTCAAGGGATTGCAAAACTCACCAACATTTCTTCCCTTTGCAATGTAAATTTGTGCTTCCATTGATGAAGAAATGGAGATTACTTAACCTCATCTTGTATTTGTGATTCCTTGTGGTTTTCTTGGCCAATTGTATGCAGGAGAAGTGATGTTAGGCCAGCTCCAACTCTGGGCTTTAAGATGTCTTACACAGCCATTCACGTGCAAAGAGGAAGACCACTGCTGTGGCATGAGACCACATGGGGCAGAGATGAGCCATCTCTGATGAGGATTTCTCAAGCCACCAACCACCAGGCCACCTGCCAACTGACCACATTTTTTTTTTTTAAAGATTTATTTATTTATTTGTACAAGCACTGGGTACAGTCAGAAGCGTGGGAGGGTGAGAGAATTCACCAGAGTCAGAGCGGAGACCAGAGCAGGCAGACTGACGAAATACACTGCTGAGGGGAGCAGCGGGCGGCAGGAGAGGTCTGCGCGCCATGTAGGACCCTCACCCAGTGGCCGGGGATCAAACCGGCACTGCAGAGGCTGCAGGCAGCTTCGCAACCCAGCGCTCAACCGCTGCACCGCCGGGAAGGCCTGACCACATATTTTTTTACTGGACCTGAAAACAAAGAATCATCCAAATGATCTTAGCCCAAACTGTCACTCCACCCAACTGTGAGATCACTATTTTTTTTCCCATCCCTTCACCATCAGTCTATGTGTGCCCCTCCCTGTGAAGCAAGTCTCTTGTAAGCAGCGTGTTGTTGGGTCTTGCATTTTTATCCATTCAGCACCTCTGTCTTTTGATTGGCGAGCTTAGTCCATTACATTTGCAATGATTATTTTTTTGAAGATTTATATTTATTTATGCATACAAGAACTGGGGTATAGACCAGAGATGCGGGGGTGGGGGGAGTGAGAGGATTCACGAGAGACAGAGTGGGGAGCAGAACAGGCAGACAGACCGAAAACACTGCTGAGGGGGGCAGTGGGCGAGACAGGAGAGGTCTGCTGCGCCATGTGGGTTGCTCCCTGGCCAGCCAGGGATTGAACTCGTGCTGCAGCGGCTGGCTATAGCTCAATAGCTGAGACTTTAACCCCAGCACCACCAGGAGGCCCTGTGATGATTATTGATAAACTAAACATTATTGCCATTTTGTTTGTTGTTCTATGGATACTTTCTGGTTTCCTCTCTGTTCCAGTCTTTTTCTCTTCCCTTGATGCCTTTCTTTAGTAATATGTCTACTTTTTCATTTTCTTTTTCATTTTCTTCTATGTATTTACTCTAAGTTTTTATTTTGTGGTTACTACGAAGTTCCAGAATAACATTCTAAGTACATGATGTTCTGTTTTGGGTTGACAGCTACTTAAGTTTGAACATACTCCAAAACTTTACATTTTTGCTCTCTACCCAACACTTTGTATTTTTACCTCATTTTTCATTTTTATGTTATATGCATCCCTTAATTATTGAATCTTTAATTTTACATCTATTATTTTTTAACTACCATGCTTCTTTTGTAGTTAATTTACCCAACTCTTAATATATATATATTTATATAATGTTATTTATAAATAAATACAATATATATTTATGGTGAGAATTTACTTTACCTTGTGCTTTTTTTTAAAAAAAAGATTTATTTATACAAGAACCAGGGTACAGGCCGATGCGCGGGAGGGTGAGAGAAGTCACCAGAGACAGAGCGGGGAGCAGAACAGGCAGACAGACAAAACACACTGCTGAGGGGAGAAGCGGGTGAGACAGGAGAGGTCTGAGGCGCCATGTGGGCTTCTCGCCTGCAGGCCAGGATCGAACCAGCGCTGCAGAGGCTGTGGACAGTTTCACAGAGTGGCGCTCAACCGCCTGCGCCACCAGGGGAGACCCCACCTTGTGCTTTCTTGATGTTAGTTATTGCCTCTTCTTTTCCTTAACATTTCTTGCAGGGTAGTTTAGTGTTGATAAATCCCTTTAGTTTTGTTTGTCTAGCAAATTCTTCATCTCACCTTCAGTCTGAATGTTAGCCTTTCGAGGTGTAGACGCTAGGATGGAAGAGCTCTTCCTTTTAGTTCTCTGGTTATGTCATGCCGATCTCTTCTGGCCTGGAGTTTCTGCTGAAAAGTCGGCTGATAGTCTTGTGATTTTTCCTTTGGTGTGACAGACTGTTTTCTCTTGTTGCTTTTAAGATTTTCTCCTTATCTTTTGCCATTTTAGTTATTTTATAATATGTCTTGATATGAACCTCTTCGTTTTTTATTTGGAATTCTCTGAGACTTCTGCACCTGCTATCTGTTTCCTTTTCCAGATGAGGAAATTTTTTAGCTATTATTTCCTTAGGTAATCTTTCTAGTCTTTTCTCTTTCTCTCCTCCTTCTGGGACTCTTATTATGTGAAAATTCTTCCTGTTAATATTGTCCCAGAAGTCTCTTAATGTATCTTTGCTTAATTTTTTTTCTGCTCCATTTGTGTGAGTCTATTGCTTTGTCTTCCAGATCACTTACAACTTCAGTTTGGATCTTTCTTAACATTTCTAGCTCATGAATTCTTCTCCCAAGTGTGGTGAACCTCTTGTCACCATTAATTTGAACTTCTTTATCAGGTATTTTGCTCATCTCCTTTTCTGTAAGGTGTTTTTATGGGGCGTTTCTTTGCTCTTTCATTTGAGGCATGTTCCCCTGCTTCCTCATTTTGCCTGATTCTCTGTGTTTGCCTCCATGTATTAGGCAATTTCACTACTTCTCTTGGTTTTGGAATATTGGTCTTGTCCATGTGGTGCGCTATGCATTTCAGGATGCAGTGCCCTCTGGCCACCCAAACTAGGCCACTCAAGTTGTATTCCCTGTGTGGGTTGTTCCAGCCTGCCTAATCTGCTAGGACAACACAGTGTGTATTATTGTTGGCCTGGCCCAGCTACAGCACAATATTTTCACTTGGTCAAGGTGTGTAACTATAGTATACTGAGTAGGTGGTGTTGTGGGCTCACTCTACCGCAACACTGCACCATCACTGCTTGTGGGTAGGTAGTACTGACTGCCATCTAAGTGCACAAAGGCATGGTACACGTGGCTTAAGGCCCCACACATAGTGTTTGGTGCCCCAGTGTGGAACAGCTGGTGGCTCAGGGCAGAGTTTTAACCCAGAGTCAGGGTGCAGAGCTGTGCTGCACTGCTGTATCCAGGGGAGAAAGGAGCTCTCAATGGGGCTCACACAAGGTCTAGAAGGCAGGGGAAACAATACAAAAGTTTCATAGTAGAATCACAACCAACAAAGCAGAAAAAACCGAAATGGGTGTGCAATTATACAAATCATGTCATATCATGCTTTACTATTTAGCAATGAAAAAGAATGAACTACTGATATGTACATGCAATTTGTGTGGATCTCAAGGTGTATACCCTGAGAACAGTAGAGTTATCTAAATCCCAATTATGGGAATTTTAGGGCATTGTAGGCCTCAGGAAATTTGAGTCACTTATTTCCAAGGCCTGGGCATTCGATGCTGTGTAAGAGAGGCAATCAACCCAAAGTTGGAGACAAGGGAAGGTAGATTTCCAGTTAACTCAAGATACAAGGACTACATTTAAAGTCTCAGGAAGACTAGGAAGTTGAGCATGTGGTGGATTTGGCACAGGGGTCTACAGAAAACAACCTAACCAACCCTCTCCCCTCTAAACCCTGCTTATAGAAATCCATCCAATTACGGGTCATCATAGAGGAAACTGATGAAACTGAAGTGAAGGAACAAGAAAAGTCTCCACTCTCGTCGCCTTCAACAAAGGTAAGTCAATAGAGGCCCTCAAAGGGGAGGGTGACTCTGACCTGCCACATCTCTGACTCAAGTCACCCAGGGATGATGGGTCATCTTCACTGTGGGAACAGCAGGGAATTTATCATCCAAACCAGGAAGCAGCTGTGAGTTAAGGATGGTGCTGTAGATTACTAATAGTCAGGAGCAGCCACCGTAAACAGAGACTGTCCCGTGAATGGTTGTAAGAATGCATGAATGGTTGCCCCATCCAGAGCCAGAATGAACAGGAATTAACTCATCCTTGACTATCCTCTCCTAGTTCCTTTCAGGTCACTTGTCTCCATGGTTGTAGTGGGGAGTAACCCTAACAAGTGGGAATCATCCCATGCAAATTTAGGGAGCAGGGTGGTGAGACCAGTGTGTTGGGGAACACAGTGCCAAGTAAGGGAAAGATTGTGTGGAAATGTGTGTGTGCATGTGTGCACATCTATGTGTATTAACTGAAGTTTAAGGTATAAAAAAATAAGTGATAATGAGAATTAAATGAACAGACCCCCCAAACTGTGTGAAGTGAGGAAATTTTATAACTATGACTTGACAGAGCAGGTTGTGAGTAAGAGCAAGAGTCAGGCATGACAGCCGGCAAAGATGTGACTTTTCCAGCCTGTGGGAGGTTCTGAAGGGAAGGGATAAGGATCCCAGGCAGGTGATCATTCCAGAGAGAGATATGTTAACGTGTTAGCCCATAGATCATATAATACTCTTGTTCTGGACAGATGAAGCAGGCCCACATAACCAGATGATAGCTAGGACAAGTATGCCCCATTTCACAGATGAGGACCTGAAACTCGGAGTTCATGAGATAGATTGTGTCCATTAAGCAGAGGAGGGTGAGGAGGGCAAATGCAGGACACCTAACTGGTCTTCTGGCTCCAGCCAATGCCCTGCTCAGTGCTCCTCAACTGCTGCAGAAGGGGTCTTTGTTGACAAAGGATCAGGACCCCTTCCTGGCACACCCTTGGGCTGAGGTGGGTGGGGAAAGTTTCCTGAGTGTCTCTTTTTTCTTGTAATTACTCCCTCAGAAGAAAGAGAAGCCTACTAATCAAGGACCGGAAGCCAGTGTCATAAGGATCCAGGCCTGGTGGCGGGGCACCCTGGTGCGCAGGACGCTGCTGCACGCGGCCCTCCAAGCCTGCATCATCCAGTGCTGGTGGAGGCTGGTGCAGGCGAAGCTGCTGGAGCAGCGGCGGCGGATGGTGCTGGAATACCATGCGTGGCAAGTGTGGGCAGTGGTCAAATTGCAGTCCTTTTTCCGCATGTGGCGCATCCGCAGGCACTACTGCCGTTTGCTCCACGCCGCCCGCATCATCCAGGCCTACTGGCGCTGGCGTAACTGCCAAACCCGGGGTTTTCTCCGTGGTAAGTACAAAGTCACATCAAGCCAGCTGGTACTTGAGATTGAGATCTTTCTGGGATCACAAATCTGTCGGTTTACAGACTGTATCCCCTTCCCAATAAAGAACTGATCTGGTCTGCTCCAATGCTGTGTCACCAGATCTCTGTCACACAACCTCCATACTCCTTGCTGAGAGGAGGGTCAAGTAAAAGGATGGTAAAGACTTGGCCTCTCCCAGGTAGGTTCTGAGGAGAACTAGGACTTGCCGAGGATCCTGTATGGAGACTTCTAGACCCCTGTGCTAGACAAAAGGGACTGTGATGGGTTATTGATGTCTGCCATGAGTCTGAGTGTTGGGGTTATGGTATCCGCCAAGCCCAAGGGGTGGGGGCAGTGTAAGGCGTGAATGGTGTCCCCACTGGTTGTGCTTCATAGTGGCAGTAACATCTGAGCTCTTAATCCTTCAGTGTCCTCTCGTTAAATTTAGAACAATCCTCCCTGAGGCCTACAAAGCCCACAGGTGTGTGGCCTGGTCATCTCCCCCTCCTCATGTCCTCCTTGGCATCTCTGCTATGATCTACATCTCCAGCATGCACCCCAGCTCAGTCCTTCATACTGGCTGCCTCCTCTCCCTGGGTGCGCTCTCCAGCGGGGCTCCACTCCTGGGGCTTGTGTGTGCTTCCTGCTGCCTCCTCAGGAAACTTCTCTGACCACCCTATTGAAATGCCTTTCTTCATGCTTACTGTGTGCTCTGGCTCCTTCCTGACTCTGCTTTCCTGTTACAAAGTCCTCCTCACTATCAGAGGTTATCCACCTCTTTTTCTATTTTCTGCCCCTGCCCCCCCCGACCCCTGAGTTCAAGGAGCGCAGGGATTCTGGGTTCAGTGCTCTGTTCCCAGGGCCTAGAACAGTAGATTTTCTCTCTCAATACATTACTGTATATGTTTTTATTTTCTGTGTATTATGTTGTTTTAACATCTTTTCAACGAACCCTTTCCAACTTGGAAAAGACTGGCCTTCCTGGGGCCAGCCAATTAGAGACAGCAAGGGAGTCAGCCCAGAACATGCCTTGATGTGGAAGCTAACTCAGAGCCATACCTGCTCTTGTTGACATCTACACCCAGAAGGCAAGATTCCTCTACCTTAATCACCCCAGGACCAGGTATAGGTACTGGGAAACACCCCTATAGATTAGGATCCTCTGAAAATACTCAAACTAGTCACTCCCAAACCCTTTGCCCTGCCCTGCCTTGCTTTTCCTTCTCCAGTAATGACGGTGGCAACAGCTCTCTTCTCATTCCTGTCTTTTGCCACCGAGCAAACCTGACGTTCCCTGCGTCCCTGTGTGACATGCCATCACCTCCTCTCTGGGAGCTGTGAGTATCATAAATTTTGTTTTCTTGTGCCTCTCTTATTGTCTCGTGGTCAAACCTGACTGATGCTAACATAGGAGAACACAACACACACAGCACACACGTACACGCAATGTTTAAGTGAAGTTCGCATAATTATCATTTTTAGATTAACCACAGGTTAACATTAACATAAGTACAAAAGACACTTATCATCCTGGATATTACATTAATTTTGGATGCTGTCTTAGGAACCAGAGCCAAGGCCAAATATTAGAATAAAAAACTCTCCTAGGGCTCCAATTACTCGGGAAATTAAAAGGGCTTCAGAAACTTTGGGGCAGGAAATGGAGGAGGGGGTGGAGATGATAAGGGATAAATGTATATTTTCTATAATCTCGCAAATCTGGAATTTCTTGGTGTAAAAAACCAAAGGAATATGAAGCAAAGAAATATAGGTAATTGGATGGGGGAGTGGGAGTAGTAACATACTTCTAAGGAAATGTGAACCTATTCCCCTAAATCATAGCATTATAAACCAATGTTACTCTATAAAGAAAAAACAAAGTCAGATAATGACAAGCCCTGGTGTAAGAGATCAACCTCAACACTTCCTGCGTGACCCTGAAGGGCTGCTGAGGCCTGGAGCAGGGCCATGGGGTTCTTGGCCAGTCTTGCACCCATTCCCTCTCATGCAGGGATGGGTGGCAAAGCCCAGGCTTGGGGCTCCCAGCTCAGACTCGTGTGGGTCCCCACCACAGCCCCCCAGCTGGTGGCCGGAGCTCCCGGAGGCTGAGGAAACAGAGGTTCTACATAGTGCTCCCTGTATCTGGCCAGCCAGCCCAGTCCAGGTGGCCATGCTTCGGCCTCCAGCTGCCAGGCCCATCGGCTGTAGGTGGGCTTCCTCCTGCGACTGGCAAGATGGCTTGGTAGTGCAGCCCCACCTGTCCGGAACCTCCTACCCTCACCCCTCCTCCCACAAAGTCTCTGGGAGCCCACCCCCTGACTTTCTGAAGGAGGGCAGCAGGGACTAATAGAAGCTGAACAGCCATGACAGTTGTATTATTTTTAAGATTTATTTATTTATGTATACAAGAACTGAGGTATAGGTCAGAGGTGCAGGAGGTAAGAGGATTCACCAGAGACAGAGTGGGGAACAGAACAGGCAGACTGACTGAAACACACTGCCGAGGGGAGAAGCAGGCGAGTCAGGAGAAGTCTGCTGCACCATGTGGGTAGCTCCCTGCCCGGAGGTAAAACTTGTGCTGCAGTGGCTGCAGATAGCTTCATAGTGCTGCGTCTTAACCCCTTGCGCCACCAGGGAGGCCCCAGTCATGACAGTTTTAAAGCCGGAACGCGTGGCTAGGTCTGGTGGACAACGCGGTGGAAGATGACTTGTGCGGTTCCCTACGGCGGTGCTGTCCTCAGGAGGCTTGCCCTTGGGTTCCAACACCCCTGAGCTGGTGGGCTGCATGGGCTGTTCCCCAAGAAGGCTGCTCCAGTTCCAACTTTTGCCCTCAAGCCAAGCAGCATGCCGTCTGGTTCCTGGTTTGAGCTCAGGCCTTAGCAGACAGCCCTTTTTACCATGGCCCATTCCTGCTTCCTGGGCTAAGTGGTTTAGCCACCATGTTGCCACCACTGGTCTTGCTGCTTCTGCTGAGGAACAGGCCACCATCTTGCCCCTGCAGCTGCTGCTTGGGCGCTGGACTCTGAACTGCAGACACTCTGTGGAGTATGAAGCATCTCCTTTTTCAACTTCTTATGTAATAAATTCTGTTACTGTTGTTTCTCCCCAAGTGTCTGGTGCTGCTGTCTTTTTTTTTTTTTTTTAAGTTTTATTTATTTATTCATACAAGAACCAGGGTACAGGCCAGATTCCTGGGAGAGTAAAAGGATTCCCCAGAGACGGGGGGGGGGACAGAACAGGCAGACTGACAAAATACACTGCTGAGGGGAGCAGCGGGCGTGACAGGAGAGGTGGGACCTTGCCCGGCTGGCCAGGATTGAACCTGTGTTGTAGAGGCCACAGACAGCCTCACAGCACTGTGCTCAACCGCCTGCGCCACCAGGGGAGGCCCTGGTGCTGCAGTCTAAAGTGTGGATGGGAACCCACCTAAGCCTCACCGCTTTTTCCCCAGGTTTATCTTCATTCATTGCCAAGGGTGAGGAGAAATCAGAAGCTACATACACAGTTGCTGGAAATGTACATAGTATAAAACAGATGTCAGTTCCCCAAATGGTTAAACATAGTTATCATGTACCCAAGTCTACTCTAGGTAAATAGCAGAAGGTATGAAAACTTATGTGCATACACAAAAATTATAAATTCATATATATGATGGCATTACTCATAATAGCCATAATAGGAAAACAACCCAATTGTCCATCAGTACATATGCCGCCAAAATAGAAAATACTATCCTAAGAAAAAGAAGCAGGCATGAAAACATTTGGTTTGTAACTCCAACCACAATATATATCCAAAACAGACACATATATAAGATAGAATAAATCAGAGATTGTCAGAGACTGAGGGAAGAGGGTGGGAGAAAGGAGATTGTCTACTAATGAGCATGGGATTTATTTAGGGGTGAATAAGATGTTTTGGAATCAGATTCTGGTGATAATTACACAACTTTGTGAATATATTAAAAACTGCTGATGTACAACTTTAGTTTTACAGAATGTGAATTACACCTTTTAAAAAAGGGATCTTAGAGACAAAATTATTAAGATGGTATAGTGGGACTTAAAAGAATTCCTGAGTAAACGGGGTGGCGGGAGGAGGGCAATAGTCACATATTAGATGGAGCCAGTGTCATCAAGATAAGCCTCTCCCCAAAATCGATGCATTTACAGTTAAAATCCTAGCAGAACTATTCAGATAATTAACACATCACACAAACCTCGGTGGAAATTTCTATCTTTAAACATAGCTTTGAATAGTCTGGCACTTTGGCAATATCTGGATTTGTAAGTTGTAAGAAATTGAATTATGAATCTACCTGGTCTTGGTGTCCTACTTAGGTGAACTTACTTATTTTTGTTTATGCATACAAGAACTGGTGCAGGCGATGATGCGGCAGGTGTGAGGATTCACCCGAGACAGAGTGGGCAGCAGAACAGAACAGGCAGATCTACTGAAATACACTGCTGAGGGCAGCAACAGGCGGAACAGGAGAGGTCTGCTGCGCCATGTGGGTCAGGTCCATGGCCAAGATCAAACTCCTGATGCCGTGGCTGACTACAGCTTGATAGAACTGACACTTAACCCATCCCTGGTGGATCTTTAACAGTCTTCTTCTTATCAAAATCTCATATATTTTCTTTGGTGAATTTTAGTCATCTACATTTTGTTCAGAAATCCTTTGCTCTTCGTTTCAAGCTCGTCACCATCAGTCTCTTCCAGCTGTTTACGTCTCCCTGGGATTCTCTCGCCTTTCCCATTCCAGGCTTTGCTCTCTTTCTCATCCCGCACGTTCTGCCACGGGTCTTGTCAAAACCACCCTTTACATTTATTTCCCACCTCCCATATTTGTTTTCTATTTCACCAATTAAGTTTTCTAATTTACTTCATGCTGTCTGCATTCCTCCCGTGTCTCTGGCTTCCTGCGGTGTGTGAGGCCGAGCCACACCTGGGTAAGGAGAGACGGGGAGTGGCAGGACCCCGGGCAGGACAGGGCTGCAGGGAGGTGGCTGCCCTGGCCTCCCGCTCCCCTGGGACCGAGAGCCAGAGGGTCGTGGTCGGGCCTCGTGGAGGAGAGCCCTGGGGGGGACGGGCGCTCACGGCCCTGTCTGTCCACTCTGAGCAGCAGGAGGGAGGTGCAGGGGAATTCAAGTTGCCATGGAGCTGCGCCTGAGGGAGACTCACCTGCTGCCAGACGCCCCAGCGCTATGTCATAATGCCCCTGGGAAGTGACGGCATTGCCTTTCATGCTACCCGTGCCAGACCTTGGGAAGAGGGCTGGGGAGAGATCAGGTTAATGAATCATCCAGAAGGAAGCAATGTCACTTCGATTTTGTGTAAGAAACATGACCAGATCTATCAAGCAGGCTAGGGGGGCGTGGGAATCATCCTTCATTCAAGGTCTTGAGTAAAGGGGGGATGCTGAGCTGTGGGGATCTTGTGCAGAGCCAAAGAGACAATCAGCAGAGTTAACTTATGCATAATTACTTATTTAATTCTGATGACAGTATCGCGGCAATCTAGCTGTAATAGTATACGAAGATATAGAAGAAATTGAATTGATCAGGAAAATAAAGAGAGAGAAAACCAAGGTGGGTAACATTCTTATATAGTTAGGTGCTAACCAGCACCCTGAAGTCCGTGTGGTGAGCATGTGGAATTGTATCTTTCATGGATTCCGAGTTTAAATAACCAGGAGTCAACTCAGTAGTGGCTGATTTCTCCCTCCCAGTCGCCACAGGCTCTGGGTGTGGACCTGACTGTGACATGAGGAATGAAGAGAGGTGTGGGGGCTCCAGATTAGACAGTAGAAAGAATATGGGAAGGAGCATAGATGGGGAGGCTGCCGACTCACGCTACCGTGTTGAAGCACGGTGTTGAGCAGAGAAATCGGCCAGCGGTGGTCTGGGAGAAGCACGAGCAGAGAACCAGGCGGCAGCACAGTGCAGCCAGGCCTCCAGCCCCAGTGAGCACCAGGGCAAAGCCTCTCGCGTCCCTCCTGCATCCTCAGAGTTCCCTATTCGTGCACCCGTGGGGTCATCAGGAGGAGGGTGCTATTGATTCCGGGGCATAGTCATGTGTCCATAGCGGCAGAGGAAGGCTCCCAGCCCAGGTCTTCTGGTTCTTAGTGTCCTGCTGATGCCCCAGAACTCTCCGGTAAGGTTGACTGTAGGAGAAGCCAGGCCCCTTCCCGGAAGACGCTGAGGTCGGTGGCAGGAGAGTCCCTGAGTTGTCTCTGTCTCATTTGTGCCTAGAAGAAGACGGTGAAGAAAGACTTACCAAAAACTAACCCAGATGCGGTCGTGAAGATCCAGGCCTGGTGGCGGGGCACCCTGGTGCGCCGGACATTGCTGCACGCGGCCCTCAGGGCCTGGATCATCCAGTGCTGGTGGAGGCTGATTCTGGACAGGCAGAGGCAGAAGATGCGGAGGCAGGCCCTGATTGCTTATGCAATCAGAGAAAGGGCCGTGGTCAAACTCCAGTCTTTGGTCCGCATGTGGCGCATCCACTGGCGATACTGTCAGGTGCTTGAAGCCCTCTATGTCATCCAGTGCCACTGGCTATGCCACAACTGCCAGACCTGTGCTCTCCTCCGGGGCCACTGTGTCGTCACAGCCACTCACCTACAGTTCCACATTGAGGTCATTAACCCCTAAGGCTTGGCAAGAAGGAGCGCCTTGTCTCCTGGCCTAGTAAAGGTCTAACCTGGTGTGGTGTGCCTCCTGGTCTCCCCTGGCAGTTGGAAATGTGGGCAGCCCGGCCATGCAGACTTTATTCTCCCTGGGAAGGAACTTCAGAGACATTTCCCCACTGTCCCATGGACCCTGCTCTGGATTGACAGTGACCATGTGCTACCTACATGTGTTGGCTTGTCAAAACAGAAACTGAGGTCATAGGCTACCCTGATACGAAGGACCAGAAGCCCCAGTGCTAATCCAAACCCCATTCCTTCTCATCCGGGATCTGAGAAGCAGGTGGGTTCCGTCTCCCTGAAATCTGAGCTCCTCTGCGTATGAGAACTTCAGGTCTCCTCTGCTGCCTGGGCTGGGGAATTGCTTGGAGTCCAGGAGGCCTCAAGCAAGGTGTCTTTGGTCAGGACCTAGAGAAAATACCAGCATTTGGCCCCCCCTTCTGAATCAGTGCAGTGCAGCCCAGGGGAAGGACAGGAGGCTGACCTTAGCTGTAGGAGGGCCTGGGCCTGCTAATGAGCATATGGCCACCCTGGGGACTAGTGGCATGAAAACAGGATTCATGCTACTTCAACTATGCATCAGAACGCCTTCCCCTAGGGCTGTGCAAAAAAAAAAAAAAAAAAAAGCAGAACTCCCTCTGGCATTCCCCCACCCCTACTCTTGTCTCCCTTCTTGGTGGTTTTAAGTAGCTTTTTTTTTAAGATTCATTTATTTATACAAGAACATACAGGGCTGAGGCACAGGAGGTTGAGAGAATTCACCAAAGACAGAGTGGGGAGCAGAAAAGGCAGAAGGAAGCTGTTTTTCTTGGTGGTTTTATCACAGGTCAAGATGATCATACCAGTCTCCTTCAGTGTCACACTGTAAAAGATTTTTGGCCCCCTCCTTAGCCCCCAGTTCCACAGTGATGCTAAAACACAGATATTCAACAGAACTTTCTGGATGATGACATTTTCTGTATCTTCTGTGCTCTCCAATAATGAGCAACTAGCCACCCCTGTTTGTGGGGCACTTGAATTGTGCCAAGTGCAACCAGAGAATTGAATTTTTAACTGAATTTAAATTTAAACTAATGTTTAAATTAGTTGGCTGGTGTCTATTCCTTGGACATGATGGCACTCATCTTGACCATTGTCAGTAACTGCCCATTCTTGTGTTAATTCTCTGATCATTTCTCTCCATCTAGTGCCCCTGGCAAATGTACCCATAAGGATGTTCCTTCGGACACATCAAGGTCTTCCAGTCTCCGATCCTACCGATTTCTTTTACAGCCATCACCCCTGACATGCCCTTGCATCTTTCTTTACCCAGTTCAGAGTCTGTTAATTTCTATCTCTCCCCTGTACAATGTGACTTCCCTTAACCCTCTCTCTGCTGCAAACATGTGGGATGAGCTCAACTGCCCTCCGTGCCTGCAGGGGAGTGGCTACAGCAGATCAAGCAACCATGAGAGGTGGCTTCAGTTTGTACTCATGACCACAGATCTCGTGACAAACTTCCCAGTAAATATCTATCCGCAGTTCCACTTTTGGATTTGAATAATTCACATTTTCTCTGCAAATCTCCAATTCCACTTTTCCCATTGAACTCAAATATGCTGTATGTCCTCACTGAAGATACAGGGGCAGGTACAGCCCTCTTCTTCCTACCACCTCATTTTCCATCCCAGCTCCATTTGGACCACACGTATTGCCTTCATGCCAGGTGAAATAAATAAAGGGTCTTTGATCCTCTGAAAGGCCAGCCTCTGACATCCCACTGCCTTCTCCAGGCCCTGATCTAGGACCTAAGGTCCTCTAGGACCCGAGGGAGAAGAAGGCATATGTTTCACTGGCTCCAGCCTAGGAAGCTTTGGATGTTGCCAGTAAAATTGGGATCATCTAAACCAGCCCAGCTGGCTAATTCTAAATATATTTTTTTTTTCATCATAAAAGAAAAATCTTTTAAAACTCATCAATTCAGCAAAGTAGCAGGATACAACATAAACATAAATATCAGGGCCTCCCTGGTAAAGCAACATAGGCATTATGAAAAGCAGCATAACAGGTCCTGAAAAATAAAAATAAAATTGCCATATGAGTCATCCATTTTGCTTCTGGTATATACCCTGAAGAATCAGTCTCAAAGAGGTCTTAGCACACCCATGTTCACAAGAGCATTATTCACAAATACCGAAAGGTGGAAGCAACCCACATGTCCATTCATGGATAAACAAAATGTGGATATATATGCAAGGGAATATTATTAACCCTTACAAAGAAAAAAAATCCTGACACGTTATAAAATTGAATATCGAAAACCAACAAACACTATGATTCCACTAACCTGAGGCATTTAGAGCAATAAAATTCAAAGAAAGTCGAATTTGGTTGCCAGGGACTGTGGGAGGAGGAAATGGAGAATTTTATTGGGCACGGAGTTTCAATTTTGCAAGATGGATACAGTTCTGGAGGTGGATGGGTGGTGATGAATTTGCACAATAATGTAAATATAAGGCCCCTAAAATGTTTGCTTAAAAATGATTAAAATTTTATATTATGTATCTTCAATTATTATTTTTAAAATACTTAAAAATGTTGGGGAGGGGGAGAAGAAGCATAAGATGACACAAGCGTCCATGTTGCACCATTAAAGGGTGAGTCATGTACATTGACCACTTGTAAAGCATCTCCCTGGAGACTCCGGTGCTCTGTCACCCTGACTCCCTCCCCATGGTAGACATTGCTAATCAGTGACGGGCCCTGCTCATCACCACCAAGCTCTGGGGTCCTTCTCCACACTGGACCCAGACAGTGTTGGGACTCAGAGAACTGCTGCTTTCTCAAAGTTCATTTGTGAGATCCCAAAAATTTGCCACCATTAGCTCAACGACTTCCTTGAAATATGTCTGACAAAGAGAGCTGGGGACACGGATATGGCAGACCTGGTCATTCCTTTATTGGAAAGGGTATGCATTGTTGCACTCTACAAGCTTGTGAGCCCAAAGAGATTTCAAGTTGAACATTCAGAAGGTTTTCTTTGAGGTCATACTGTCCCTGAATGAAGCCACGAGTATGGCAGCTATGCCAGCGCCAGTAGACCTGGATGATGCGGACGGCGTGGAGCAACTGGCAATAGCGAAGTCGAATGCGCCACATGCGGACCCAGGACTGCAGCTTGACGACTGCCCATTCTTGCCGGGCATAGTGCTGCAGCGCTGCCTGACGCCGGCTTTCCAGGATCTCCGCCAGCTTCTGTTTCCACCAGTACTGAATAACACAAGCTCTCAGCGCCGCGTGCAGCAGGGTTCTGCGCACCAAGGTGCCCCGCCACCAGGCCTGGATAAACACAGCTGCTTGCTCTTCAGCTTCTATGCTATGAATGCTTGGACCTTGTGGGAGAAAACAAGGGACACAGGAAAATCATACATTTCATTCCCAAAGTTTGCCATGAAGTGGCCCTAATGTTGTATCAACAATCGTCCCTTTTTCTGTTGTTCAGGAGAGCCATTGAGAGCAATAACTCAAACTAGGGACCCAGTAGATGTCCTACTTCTGCCACTCTGACTGATGGACATAGACACGTCATCTCTCCCTGAGGCCTAGAATCTCCATCTGCAAAATGGAGACACACCTGCACTTGCAATTCACCCAGCTTGACATGGATCAGATTGGCCAATCTCGAGCAAGAACAGCATGATCCAAAAGTGAGAGAAATACAAGTGTTGCCTGGACTTCACCACCCAACTGGCATCCATGTCTCTCTCCTTCAGACCCCTCCCATCTTCTGGAGAAGTGGAGGGCTGCCAAGCTCGGTAACTATGGGAAATGCACCACCCCACCAGAAAGGCTGGGGAAATCTGACTCCCTTATAAGCCATTAAACGCCCAGGACTTGGGGCCTCCCTGGTGGCACAGGGGTTAAAGACAGCACTATCAAACTACTGCCAGCCTGCTACAGCAGGAGTTTGATCCCCCACTGGCTAGGAAGCTGACCCACCTGGCACAACAGACCTCTCCTGTCTCCTCCGCTGCTCCACTCAGCAGTGTATTTCAGCCAACCTGCCTGTTCTGTTCCCCACTCTGTCTCATGAATCCTCTCACTTCCCATACCTCTGGCCTCTACCCCAGTTCTTAATAAATAAATAAACCTTTAAAAAAAATGCCCAGGGCTTGGAATGGATACTCATGCCCCCTTAGGTCTACATGCTACTACATTACCCATGGTTAGGGGCTAGATGGTCCCATTGCCCTCAGGTCTGCTCTGCAGCCACGGCTCTGGCCGGAAGAGAGGGAGAGAGAGAGAGCTATGATGTCATAAGGGCACCTATGACTCAGGATGGCTCACCAATAGTTGAGTTTCTTCTAAGGGACACCTCAGACCTGTTGTCTTTTTTCCCAACACCTCAAATACTGACCCACTTACACAAAAGTGTATAATGGGGACTCCCTGGTGGCACAAGAGGTTAAACACATCACTGTGAAGCTAGCTGCAGCCTCTGCAGCACGAGTTCAACCCCTGGCCGGCCAGGGAGCCGACCCACATGGTGCAGCAGACCTCTTTCGTCTCGCCCGCTGCTCCCCTCAGCAGTGTATTTTAGTAGATCTGCCTGTTCTGTTCCCCACTCTGTCTCTGGTGAATCCTCTCACCTCCCACATCTCTGGCCTGCACCCCAGCTCTTATATGCATAAATAAATAAATCTTTAAAAATAAAAAAATAAATTAAAAAAATCTTTTAAAGTGTATAATGATACACATTAAAACCTGACTGTTGTTCATTAAGTGGTGTGGTGGGGGGAGGGGAGAACCCTTTAAGGCTGTGGGGTGGGGACATCAGTGAGAGGGGGAGAAGACTGGAGTAGGTGGGAGAACAGGAGAACAGGTGGGGTATGATGCATGGGATGGTGAAAATGCATGAAGTGCCTGAAGATAAAGGTGTTAGCCAGGCCCCTGGGAGACCCTCATCAGTCTAACTCTTCCATTAATCTGGCCACAGAGTCTTGTCACTGGTCACCACATCCCACTGCCAATAGTAATAGCAATGGAGTAATGGCATTTGTCCCACTTCTTAGGTGAGGAAACTGAGGTGGAGACCTCACACAGCTTACCCAGGTGGTAAGGCGTTGGCATAGGTGGGCTTCCTGGCATGGAACCCAGGAGGGTGAGGAGGGAGTCCAAGTGCAGGCATCCAAGGCCATGGCTGGAACAGGTACCAGGCATCCAGAGTGGTGCAGGGAGTCAGCATAATCACAGTGCATGACACCCACACAGAGGGTGCCCTGACATTCCAGGTGTGGGAAACTGGAACGAGAGCTAAATGAAGAGCTCAGGAAACTGGGGGATCAGAGAGGAAATGACATGTCCACGACCATACAGCCATGAGCAGGGGAGCCAGGGATCTGACTGAGGTCAGTCTAGTTCCAAAGACACTAGATGCAAAAAGAGAGGTAAGGAGAGAGGAGACAGAAATGCTCCTGAGTGGGAGAGAAACTGGGGCCTGCGTGAGGCCCAAGGGGCAGGAGGGACGAGCAGGACATACACAGCTTCACCCCAGCCGAGACAGAAGCTGGAGCCCACGCTTCTGGGAAGCTTCTCAGAACCTCTGGGGGCTGAGGCACCAACTCACCCAGGCAGAATAACTGGAGCAGGGCTGCATATAGGGTTTCTTGTAAAAAATAACCCAAGTGCCCAGATCCTTTCCTCTCTGTAGGGAACCACAGGCCTGCAATGCCCAGATGGACAAAGGGACAGCCTGAGCTTGGCCTCTTCATTGGTTCTTTGTCATCACTGAAACTGAGACCCCAATCCCACCCAGATAGTGACTTTCCACAGGACGGGACTGTCAGAGGTCCCAGCTTTGCCTTGACCAGGCCCGTAGAGACTGGGCCTGCAGGGAGGGTAAGGGAGACATAACTAATGCCTCCTCGGCTCCAGGTGTCTGACATTCCTTAGAGGCTGGCGGCAGGGTGCCTTCTTCTTCTGCTCCCACGCTGATGGAACCCCTCACACCTACCAGGTCTGCAGGAGAATGCGTCCCAGCTTCAGTTTCAGTCTGGACGGCAAGGGTCAGAGCTTGAGATGGAGTTGAGAACTGGGGTTTTGCATTCTAACAATCGCCAGTTTGAGTCTTAGATCTGACTGGGAGACCAAGTATGATGAGACAGCCCTCGGCTGGGCAGGCAAGCAGGATCATGCCCTGGGTGGGAGACTCCTTTCAGTCACCAGGGTGGGATAATAAGCCCTAAGCAACTAGACCTAGTGGGTGAATTCCTGGTAAATGTGCTGCCATTGCCTCACCAACCTTCCCCCGGTGCCCCTAAGACTCCATCACACACAGTTTTAGGGAGAGACATCATTTACACATATCAAACATGACATATATTGAGTTGGCCCACATGGCAGACCTGTAAGCCCGACTTTGCCAACTCTGGCAGACTTTGCTAATCAATCACAGTCTGCTCCGTCAGGAAAAGCACTCAGAATCCTTCTCCCCAGATAACCCCTGCAGACACATTAAGTTCATCTGCCGTTATTGGCCCTGACCTCCTGGAGCTCATTAACAGAGAGACAGGAAGACCACGTCACTGCTTTATTGGGAGGGGAATACACTCCGACACAATGCAAGGCCCTGAGTCCAGCAAGATCTCTAACTCGAGATGCAGCTGGTCGGCCGTGACTCTGTATTGGCCCTTGATGAAACCTCGGGAAGTACAGGAGCGGCAGCGCCAGTAGGCCTGGATGATGCGGGCGGCGTTGAGCAAACGACAGTAGCGCCTGCGGATGCGCCACATGCGGACCCAGGCCTGCAGCTTGACTGCGGCCCACTCCCTCCGTGTAAAGGTCTCCAGTGCTGTCCGCCGCCTCTGCTCCAGCTGCTTCATCAGCTTATCCTTCCACCAGCTCTGGATGATCCAGGCAGAGAGGGCCGCGTGCAGCAGCGTCCGGCGCACCAGGGTGCCCCGCCACCAGGCCTGGATCCTTACAACATCTGTTTCACTGCTAGGAGGGTTATTTGGGATCTTGTAAGAAAAAAAAGGGGATATTCAGAGAATGATCCCCACCCACTTTAGCCCCAGAGTATGCCAGGAGGGGGCCCTAATCCCCTATCAATAATCACCCCTTCCTGTGACCCTCAGAATCATCAGACACTGGCTGGAACCAGAATACCAAGTCCATGTCCTGCCTCTGCACATTCTGGTTAATGTACATGTCCACGTTAGATTGCCCTCTGAACATTAGCGTCCCCATTGTGAAACGGCTGTACATCTGCCCTGGGTACCCAATTCTATGTGGATCAAGTTGGTCAGCCTCCAGAAAGAACACCATGATCTGTGGGTCAAAGTCTTACTTACCATGTCCTGTCTGAGCCTGTCCACCTAATCAGGATACTCTGGCCCTTCAGTCCCCTGCCCAACCCAGCCTCTACTACCTGCTGGAGAAGCCACATCCTTTGTTAATCCTACCCTTTCATCCTGACACCAGCTCGAATCCAGTGTGCTCTTTTCTTGTCATGGCGTATAGTCTTACGTGTCCTCCATCTCCATAAATTTCTCTCTTATTTCTTCCTCTTCTTCACTGCCCTTGACTTTCACACTTTGAATCTTCATTGTAAGCAACATGCGTGCACAAACTCAAACACACACACACACACACACACACTATTAAATCTAACATCCTATATCTCAGACATCCCATTCCATGCACACAGCCCATATTCCCAGGCCCAGCCCTATGTGTTCTGGAGGTCATACTTCTCTGGGTCTCTTAGTAGAATCATTTATTCCTTTTGTGTCAGTCAGATTCAATGATTTAGCTTGAAAAATAAATTAGGGGGCCTCCCTGGTGGCACAGGGTGTTGAGTGCAGTACTGTGAGGCTGTCGGCAGCCTCTGCAGCACAGGTTCGATCCCTGTCCGGCCAGGGAGATGCCCACATGGCGCAGCAGACCTCTCCTGTCTCGCCCGCTGCTCCCCTTAGCAGTGTTTTCGGCCCATCTGCCTGTTCTGTTCCCTGCTCTGTCTCTGGTGAATCCTCTCACCCTTTCGCACCTCTGCCTACAACCCAGCTCTTGTATGCATAAATAAATAAATCTTAAAAAAAAAAAAAAAGAGGAAATTAGAAAAAAATACAGAAAAGGATAAGTTTTTTCCTGATCTTAGCTCTGGGTCACACAAAAGACACTAACCACCAGCACAAGAACACAAAGATAAGAGACATACAAATCAGGGCTCCTCCTACCTCTGTCTTCACTGAGAGTGATGATGATTCTGAGTATAAACCAGTCAGCTCTGTTTTCTTCTGAAGCTCATTTTTAGTCTGTTCTTCAGTATTTTCAGGCTGGTCCTTCTCCTGCAATAAATGGTTAGGAGAAAGGCTAACCGGTGGGGCTGTACCCGCCCCCCCCCACCCCATCAGTATCCCACACATCCCCTATTTCTAGGGCTGTCCAGAGTCTTCAGATGTCAAGGGGGTTCCTTCATCCTGAGAGATCTATGGCACATCCCTAAAAAGCCTGGTATGTTCCATCTCTCTCTTACTTACCATTGGTCCCACATGGATTGGGTGTAGATGGATCAAATCCCCTCAGGTCTGTATTTCTCCAGCTATGGCATGAGTAGTAAGAGAGAACGGAGACCTATGATGTCATAAGGGCAGCTATGACTCAGGCACAGAATGGCTGCCAAGAGTTAAAGCTCCTCCAAGAAAGAAGAAGTCAAACTATCACTATTTGCAGATGATATGATAATATACATAGAGAACCCCAAAAACTCCACAGAAAAACTAATTCAACTCATCAATCAGTTCAGTAAAGTGGCAGGATACAAAATCAACACACAAAAGTCAGTAGCCTTCCAATACACAAACAATAAATCTGAAGAAGAAGAAATAAAAAAAACCATCCCTTTTTTTATTGAAACAAAAAAAATCAAATATTTGGGAATAAATCTAACAAAAGAGGTAAAGGACCTATACAAAGAAAACTATAAAACACTGTTAAAAGAAATAGAAGAAGACACAAAGAAATGGAAAGACATCCCCTGCTCATGGATTGGAAGAATAAACATTATTAAAATGGCCATCCTTCCAAAAGCAATATACAGATTCAATGCTATTCCAATCAAAATTTCAATGTCATTCTTCAAAGAAATAGAACAATTATTGATGAAATTCATATGGAATCACAAAAAACCCCGAATAGCCAAAGCTCTCCTGAAAAAAAAAGAAGGGAATGGAGGCATCACACTCCCAAACTTCAAACTCTACTACAAAGCCATAATCATCAAAACTGCATGGTATTGGAACAAGAACAGACATACAGACCAATGGAATCGAATAGAAAATCCAGAAATAAACCCACAGATTTATGGTCAACTAATCTTTGACAAAGGAGCAAAGACTATGCATTGGAGCAAAGAAAGTTTGTTCAATAAATGGTGCTGGGAAAACTGGGTCGCTACATGCAAAAGAATGAAGCTTGACCACTACCTCACACCATACACAAAAATCAACTCAAAATGGATTAAAGAACTAGACATAAGACCTGAAACCATAAAATATATAGAAGGAAACATAGGCGAAACACTACGGGATTTGCACATCAAAGACATCTTTACAGACACATCACCCAAAGCAGTGATAGTGAAGGCAAAGATAAACAGCTGGGACTACATCAAATTAAAGAGCTTCTGCACAGCAAAAGAGACAATAACAAAAACAAAGAGAAACCCCACCAACTGGGAGAACATTTTTGCACACAACACTAATGATAAAGGACTGATCACAAAAATCTGCAAAGAGCTGATGAGACTCAACAACAACTAAGAAAATAATCCAGTCAAAAAATGGGCAGAAGAGCTAAAAAGAAACTTCTCTGAAGAGGAAATGCAAATGGCCAACAGGCATATGAAAAAATGTTCAACATCACTTGTCATCAGGGAAATGCAAATCAAAACTACCATGAAATACCATCTCACACCAGTGAGAATGGCACATATTAAAAAAACTAGCAACAACAAATGTTGGCGAGGGTGTGGAGAAAAAGGAACTCTTCTGCACTGTTGGTGGGAGTGCAAACTGGTCCAACCACTATGGAGAGCTGTGTGGAGATTTCTGGACCTACTAAACATAGAGCTTCCATATGATCCAGCAATTCCACTCCTAGGTATTTACCCAAAGGACACAGAAACATCAATTCCAAAGAGCACCTGCACTCCTATGTTTATAGCAGCACTGTTTACAATAGCTAAGCTTTGGAAACAACCCAAATGCCCAAAAATAGATGACTGGATCAAGAAGATGTGGTACATATATACCATGGAATATTACTCAGCATTCAAAAAAGATAAACTCATGCAATTTGCAGCAACATGGATGGCGCTGGAAGGGATCATGCTCAGCGAAATAAGCCAAAAAGAAAAAGAAAAATACCGGATGGTCTCACTCATAACAGGAATCTAGAAAACTGAAATAAGGGACCAGGAAAATGAATAACTATAAGAAAGTGAAAATCAAAATCAACAAAAAACTATGAACCAGAGCCACTTTTAGGGGGCGGGGGCGGGAGGGGAGGGATTGGGGTCAGAATGGGGGGGCTGCAATTGTATGGGGAATATAAAAATAAAATTTATTATTTAAAAAAAAAATAGGGCCTCCCTGGTGGCGCAGCGGTTGAGCGCTGGGTTGCGAAGCTGCCCGCGGCCTCTGCGGCGCCGGTTCGATCCCCGGCTGCTCCTCGGCCACCGGAGGAGGGTCCCACATGGTGCGCAGACCTCTCCTGCCGCCCGCTGCTCCCCTCAGCAGTGTACTTCGGTCCCTCTGCCTGCTCTGCTCCCCACTCTGGCTCTGGTGAATTCTCTCACCCTCCCGCGCTTCTGACTGTACCCAGTGCATGTATAAACAAAAAACAAACAAACAAATAAATAAAACATGCCTCTATAAAAAAAAATAAATAAATAATAAAAAAAATAAATAAATAAAATAAAAATAAAAATAAAAAAATAAAAAAAAAATAAAGCTCCTCCAAGGAAAAGACAGAGGTACTGGCCCTTCTTTGCTGTTAGAAATGACCCAAGTGCTGGCTACAAACCAAGACACAGAAACTACTGGCTCGTTGACATAAAGGTGCACAAAGGTAGTCAGTCGTTGGGGATATCCCCAACTAGTAAAATCAGGGATGGATTTAATGTTTTATAATCCTTTCATACTATGGAACACTACATAAATGTTTAAAAAATAATTAATCTGGGCCAGCAGACCTCCATCTCCTATCTCACCTGCTGCTTCTCTTAGCAGTGTATTTCAATAAATCCACCTTTTCTATTGTCCAAATAAGATAAAAATAATTAATTGGATGAGGAAATGGATAAAAGATCTATTTATAAGTGAAAAGTTTGGAGATCATTATAATTCCATTGATGTAAGTAAAACTATCAAGATACATAGTTTTTATATGGTATGAATGTACAGGCAAGGAGAGAAAGATACAAGCACCAAACTATTACCCACGACTCCCTTAGGAGAGGTGAATGGCAGCATCAATGGGTGCAGAAAAAGCATTTGATAAAATTCAAAATCCTTTCATGATTAAAAAAAAAACTCTCAATAGATTCAGCAGAGAAGGGAATGTACCCCAACATAATAAAGGCCATAAATGCCAAGGCCACAGCTGGTGTCATCCTCAATAGTGAAAAACTGAAAACTTTTTCCCTAAGATCGGGGACAAGAAAAGGATGCCCACTCTCACCATCCCTGTTCCAACATGGTGCTGCAAGTCCTAACCAGGGCTATTAGGTGAGAAAAAGAAATAAAAGACATCCAAATTGGTTATGAAAGAGTAAAATCATCTCTGCTTGCTGGTAATACTGTCACTGGACTAGGGAGCAGGCCCTGGACTCCTCAGCCCGATTCCAACCTCCCCCACAAAACTGGCAGATAAGCTGGCAGTGTGCCAGCTGCCGCCCTCTCCTCCACCTGCCAGGAGTCAGAGGGATAGACTGAGGCATCCCACTCCCAGGCTGGGAAATGGGCTCTTGAAACCCTCTGGTCAAGATAGAAAAGAAGCCTCCAGACACCAGTGAGGGCAGGCAAGGAATCAGCGTTTACTGATCAGTGAAAAGGCAAGTAAAGAGTGCCCAGAAAAGACCTCTCTGGGCATGAGACACCGAGGAGGTGCTGGGGCCCAAGGGTCTATATAGTTTTAGGAATGTAGTCCGAGGACACAGAAATTGAACTTTATTGGCTGAGAGAGAAGGCGAGAGGCCTTGGCTAAAGTCCACGGTTGTTGCTAGTTGTGGGCGCCCATCAGCTGCCGCTCAGAGGCCTCGCAAGCTGACATCTTCGAGGTGAACACCCGCAGCTCTATTTTGATGGATCTGGCCTTAAGGTCTGCTGTTACTGTCACTTCCTAACCAGCCTCCCTCCTTTCCCAAACCTCTATCCCTAATCATTGTCTGGCAGCCAGAGTTGTTTTTCTTAGTGTGGACTAGGTTCTTACCACTTTTCTGCTGTTTTCTCCCAGCTTTTCATTGCATCTAAATAAAACCCCAAGACCCCAATCCCACCCAAACTGGCCCTGCTGACATCTCCAAGTCTTCCCACCTTCCCATTATCTGCTCCAGTCATGCTGACCACCTGCTTCTCTTGCCTTCAGGCCTGTGCACAGGTTATCCCAGGGGCTGCAAGGCTCTTCCAAAGCCTTCCCATTGCTTAGGCCTCACTCAATGTCACTTCTCCAGACTATTCTCTTACTCCGCTTTGTCTTCATAACACCAATCATATGAATTTCTATAATATGTCTGTCTGTTTACATATCTGTCCTCTAGAGTATAAACTTCTTCAATGTAGGAAAATTTTATTTTTATCCCCATGACTCAGAACATGGGGTATGATAGGAACTAAGTAAAGGTTTGTTGAACAGATGGATGGATGCACATGCTACATGGAGAAGGGATAGTTTTCCAAGAGAAATGGAAGTCCATTTCATAAGACAGGTAATATGTCACCATTCCTGTGAAGTGGCCTCACCCTTGACACTGACACCAGAGGGTATATCCCAGCAGTACAGAAAGATGACACACAGGGCTTCATCCTGGGGAGGTGGGTTGCCAGCCATGTAGCCTTCACCTCTCTGATTCTCACTCCCCCTTTTGGAGTCAGGGTTGATGGAGCTTCCCCCAGAGTGAAACAAGGAAGTTATTTCATTTCATTTGTGGGGAAGGTGCTTAGACCTTACTCCTGGACCCATTCTCAGGCAGGGGGAGAGAAGAGTAGACAATGGCCACTCACTGGTTGTGCCAGCTTCCTAATGGTGACCAGAAAACTGTAGCCTGGTCATTCCCTCCTTGACTCCTCCTGGACCGTGAGTCTGATATTGCCTCCTAGTAATATCCTCCTCTATGCAGTTACAGATCAGCTCTGACTGGTGGGAAGTGATGCTGTGGACTGAGCAGCAGGACATACAGTACACTGCAGAAACACCTCTAGTTTCCATACCTTTCGCAGCACGACTGAAGCGCTTCCCATCAAGAGGTGGAACCCCTTTCCCTTGAATCTGGGCTAGCCTGGGAATGACCTTAGCCAACAGAATGTGATAGAAGTGCCAGATCCAAGCCTAGGTCTCTTGATGACTTCTGCAG